AATCTGCCTGTTGTTGAATTTATCCGTTGGAGCGTAATCTTTTGTTGATGCAGATGAAGGCTTCTTTCATGTTCATGCAGATCTTCTCATTTAATGCATTTGATCTTTGCATTAAATGTTTGCTTGTATTCGTGGAGCCTCTCTGAGTAGTTGATTTCTTCAATGTCTGACTCCAATCATGGTCTAGGTATATTTATACTTTTCATCAGTTTAGCCGTTGTCGTGCTGTCTTTCCCTGAAAAGTAGGTGTCCTTTCTCTGACGCATCTGGCTTTGACTTGGGAAGCATTCTTGAACAATTTTTTATTCTCGACTATTTCCCCTTGTGTTTCTTGTATACTTCCTTTCAATGTGATTAGTGGACTTCAGACGTGCTTTAGTATTCACGACATCGTCTGGTTACTAGATGTCACATCTGATCTTGACGCTTCTTATCGTCTGAGTGTGGAAGTGATAACTTCATCTTTTATATTAATTCTTCCTGATTGTCACTTCATGTTGATGCCTTGGTCATTGATGACAATATATTGTCCAATTTTTGTCTGATGCCTCGAGCTTCTATTTGAGAAACTTTTTATCTGATTTGAGCCTGGATGTTGGCTTCTTTATCGTCTAACATCTCCCACTGTTTGAACTTTTTTTTTTCGAACTGAAACACTAATGCACAAGTCAGAAATAACAATATATATTATATCTGTCATATTCAAAACTTTAGTGGGAATTGCGAATTTCACTTCGTCTGACTTAACAAATTTGACATATATTCATGCTTGTTAGATATTCATGGTGTTAAGAAATAATACAAGGTTGATACATTCAATGAAACGGAAGCTCATGAATTGTTTAGGTGGAATGCTTTAAAAAATAATCAAGTTGATCCAAGCTACATGGAAATCAAAAAGCATGCAATATATTATGCCAGTGGCCTCCCATTGGCTTTGGAAATAATAGGCTCAAACTTGTTTGGTAAAACATTGGATGAATGGAAATCAGCACTAGAAGCATATGAAAGAAGTCCAATTAGATATTTTTTGGAAATTCTTAATGTTAGTTATGATTTCTTGGAGGAAAGCGAGAAGCAAAGTTTTCTTGGCATAAGTTGCTTCTTTAAAGGATGCACTATGGGATATGTTACAGATATGTTGCACACTCGATGTTTTCACCAAAGTATGGTATTAGAGTGTTGGAAGAGAAATCTCTTATTAACATTAGGTGTTCTGTGTCTAAAAATGATGAAATTTTGACAATGCATGACTTGATTCAATGAATGGGAAGAGAAATAGTTAGACATTAATCAGATTCGTGAGAAAAATGTAACAGGTTGTGGTTTTATAAGGATGTTACTTGTATTTTGGAGAATGTAGACCCCCAAAATTGTCCGGGTCGGAAATAAGACTCGAGCATCCATATATGTCACTTTTGAACATTTATGAGAATGAGGGAGTTTTCTCTCAACTTCAAGAGTTTGAGTTCCTCTCATAGAGTGCAACTCCATATGTAACTCTTATCAAAGATTCTTTCCTTGTGGTGAGTCACTTTCTTGCCTTATTTTCTCCTTGAGAATTGGTGCCACCATTCCTAGCCTTCTCCATCATTTTCAAGTTTCTTCTCCAACAATGCACCTCATGGATGAAAGATCTTGGGAGACAAAGAAGGTTTGAAGAGTTATCTATCACTCTTTTTGTTAGGATATTGAATAAAGGAAATTAGAATAGTTGTTAGTTAGAAAGATATCATGGGCTAGGCCCATCACATCTATAAATAGGAGGTTACTTGGCAGAGGGGAGGATTTAGATTTGTTCACATTTGTAAATTGAGCATTAGCTCTTTGTGAAAGGAGAAATCCTTTGTGAAGGGGAAACCCTTGGAGGAGATATGTCTCTCCTATTTTTTGTTCTTTTCAACATATTCAATAAAATCTTTCTTTTCTTTCTCTTTCCTAATTCTTGGTTCCTAACAGGATCGACAAACTCGCATGCTTTCACTACAATCTTACCTATTTGTGACTTTGTGAGATCCAAATTTAGAGTGGGCAACAAGATCATAAGATCATGCAATCTTACTATCTAGATCACGAGTTTAACAACACAGCAAAACAACTCTTTACCTAAAAACTAGGAAACTTTGATAGCAAGTAGATAGTACAAGTTTAAAACTTAATATATATATATAT